ACTCCTTTATTTCACGTGCTGTGAGTTTAGCTCGTGTTTGGGAACGCAACAGACACCAGTTAGGCTTTATTTACACGGCAGATGATCACAGCGCTTCACTAGATTTGTAGTGAGACGTGTTTTTGTGAGCCTGTTTTCACTGAAGCTGGAGTTTCCGTCAAAATAAAAGCTTAAAGTGCAATATATGAATTTCTGACAGCTAGCGGTTTAAATGCAGTCCAGATTCAAAATATCAAAATATCTCTTTCAAGTGTAGAAATTAGGATAGAAGTATTTCCCTGCTGTAGTGTAAAGCACAAATAATATACCTATGAAATATTCATTTTCATTTATTTTACGGTGCAGTTGCTTTACAATATATGGCTTCTACTGTCACTGCTGCTATTATTATTATGTTCTAATTAGTTTAGCTTCCTAAAACAGCAGTGTGAGTGTAATTTAGACTGAGACAGTATATCACAAATAAAAAAAGGGTTGAGTCCCCTTTAAAGTTCAGCTACAAGTCAATGCACTGACTTTTTTCTAACTTGTTTTCTTAGTTAAGAACATGGGTTGCAGCTCTTAATTTTTTTATTTTAACTCTGAAAGTGCATTAGATAGAATAATTTAACTTTAAAATGTATAAAAGTTTCATTTTTTTCCAATTCTTCTTTTGTCTTTATTTAAATATCGCAATAAATATCATATTGTGGACTTCATATCGCGATATTATCATATTGTGAGATTTTGATATCGTTACATATCTAGTGATCAAGCTAAACACTAGAACAACACTGCTCTCCATCCAAAACAACAGTTCACGAAGCAGCCACGCCTGAGCAGCAGCCTCCAAATGCACTGACCAGTGCTGAATCTACAGTACACGACGGATGTCAAACACTCAAACTCATCCTGGAGCTTGTTCGTGGGCCGTGTGGGTTTGAGTGATGAACATCAGCAGCTCTTCACAGCTCCACTTCAGTCTGAGTGACCCTACAGGTCTGATGGGCGAGATGATGGGAGTCACAGTTGTGTGAAGATTAAAAACGGCTATGAATAATTAAAAGGTTATAATTTATTTCTGTTGATACAAATATAGTTATCGTTTTTGTTATAGTTACCGATTTATTATCAGTACAGTTATCATTATGGTTTTAATTATAGTTATGGTTGAATTTATAGTTATCGGTATAGTTATGGTTGTATTCATAGTAATCATTATAGTAATTTTATAGTTATATTTATAGTTATCAGTATAGTTATTTTATATTAATAGTTATGTTAGTATTTATAGTTATCGGTATAGTTATTTTATATTATTAGTTATGCTTGTATTTATAGTTATCTGTATAGTTATAGTTGTATTCATAGTTATCAGTATAGTTATTTTATACTCATAGTTATGGTTGTAGTTATAGTTATCGGTATAGTTATTTTATATTATTAGTTATGCTTGTATTTATAGTTATCTGTATAGTTATAATTGTATTCATAGTTATCAGTATAGTTATTTTATATTATTTTTGTTATAGTTACCGATTTATTATCAGTACAGTTATCATTATGGTTTTAATTATAGTTATGGTTGAATTTATAGTTATCGGTATAGTTATGGTTATATTTATAGCTGTGGTTGATTTTATAGTTATCAGTATAGTTATGGTTGTATTCATAGTAATCATTATAGTAATTTTATAGTTATATTTATAGTTATCAGTATAGTTATTTTATATTATTAGTTATGCTTGTATTTATAGTTATCTGTATAGTTATAATTGTATTCATAGTTATCAGTATAGTTATTTTATACTCATAGTTATGGTTGTAGTTATAGTTATCGGTATAGTTATTTTATATTATTAGTTATGCTTGTATTTATAGTTATCTGTATAGTTATAGTTGTATTCATAGTTATCGGTATAGTTATTTTATACTCATAGTTATGGTTGTAGTTATAATTATCAGTATAGTAATTTTATATTAATAGTTATGTTAATATTTATAGTTATCGTTATAGTTATGTTATATTTATTGTTACGTGTACAAACATGCAACATGCTAGTAACATGCTAATCATGCTATAAAAATGTTAACAACATGCTAGTTACTTGTTAATCATGCGAGCAAAATGCTAGTAACAAGCCAACATGCTAGAAACATGTAATCAACATCTAATCTTATCTAAATTTTAAAACTTCAGGGTTTTACAACTGCTTTAAACTTTCAGGCTAGGCTTTCTCAAGCCAACCTAAAGTTTGTCTTGACTAACTTTTTTTTTATCTAGTTACAATTAATGGCTAAATGAATGTTTGGAAATGTAAACTGATATTTCCTGCTGACACACTACAGCAAAAGATAGAAATAACGGACTTAAAACCATTTTCAGCTGCTGAGAATATTAGTGTTCGAATCATTTTGGCCTCCATTGCATGCATGCATTTCCAACAGAACAGATTCAACTGTTTTAAACCTCCAGAGATCAAACGAGAGGCAGATGATGATGATGATGAGGGTCACGGGCCCGAAGTGAGAGCAAATGTTCCCCTCCAGCGGCGCCACGGGCTACATGTGGCCCTTTCTGTTCCGGCGTTTAGCAGACAAGCACTGCTCTCGCTGCAGCTTAATATTTCATACAACAGACAATGAGGTCTTTACTGTACTAGAAGAGCGGCTTACAAACTCCACAATTCCACAAAAACCCATCATAATATCAAACAAATCTAGCTTCACATGTGTATTCATGTCGTTTCCACAGATCTCAGGACATCATCGCCTCAAACAGTCGCTCAGTAGTGTTTTTCCACATTAAACACTGTTCAGCAGTTCAACAAAACAAAAGCACATTTATGAAGGAATAAATAGAACAAAATTAAATTAAGACAGATGAGTCTAATAAACCCTCAGCTCATTAATGAGGACTGAGACTTAAATATAAATGTGTAAAGCATACAATAAATGGTTAAATGTCTAAATAAGTGTATAAATAATTCTTGAAAAATAAATGCATAAATCCTCATATGAAAGCGTAGATACTTTAAATGCTCAAATTAGAGCTTTGAATAAATGCATTAAATAATAAATACAAATAAATAAATAACACAAATGAAAAAAATGTAATGCCTATATAAATGCATAAAGGCTCAAATACATAAATGCATCAATGTATAAATAAATGCATTAATGCATAAATAAATAACAAATTTAAAAAATGTAATGCCTATATAAATGCATAAATAAAGGCTTGAATGCATAAATGCATCAATGTATAAATAAATGCATTAATGCATAAATAAATAAATGCAAAAATAAATCCATAAATAAACAAATGCACAGTAATCTACATCTACATGTCATTATCCATTACCCAAGAATATTCCGTTAACATTTTGACATTTTAGCCTTTTGAGTCTAAGGGCCGAATGGAAAAGTGGAAAACGTGAAACTGCACTGAATTTAGATTATAAAGATTTTATCAATATAATTTCATCTTTCATAAACTCCTTTATTAACTACTTTCTGTTAACTACTGGAGCTCCTGCAGATGATAGGAAGCGTGCCTCTCAAGGTGAACGTCTTATCTGGCATCTGAACGCTGACAGACGAGTTTCCAGCAGCTCTTCTCCAGCAAACAGCCGCATGGAAGTAGGACAGAGAGTTTAAGATGAGCCAAATGAAAACACATACACCTCTCCTTACGGATGAAAATCCATCTGCTGGATGGAGATCTATGAGCCGCTCAATGAGGTTAAGCCAAGAAAATCAAAGGTTATCCTGAAAATTCAATTTACCAGGCTGTTCTTTCTTCCACCTCCAATGAAGCGCTTTAATCTCACTCGCTTTCTGCCCTTTAATGCATTTGGTTTTCTTTCAAGTTTATTTCCTTTTATCTTTCTTTATCTTACTTTTCCCATCTCTTGCTCTGCCGCATTTGCTCTTTTCCCTTTCTCACCACAAAACTATGCCACATCTGAAACTCTCAGACGAACATAATAATAATAATCATTGTGTTGAAAAAAGGCTTATTTTAAAATAATTCATAATTTTTTTTATGAATGCATTGTGTGGCCTATTTTTATGCTTTTACTTAAATTTTACTTATTTTGTCGTCTGGGAAACATGTAAGTATTTATGTAGCTTCTGAAGTCCAGTACTAAATGAAAAAATATGATCGTTAAACAAAATGAAAAGAATTTAAACATCAACCTGTTCAAAAGTTTACACGCCCGGCTTTTAATGCATTGTGTTGCCTTCTGGAGCATCAGTACATGTTTTCACTTTTTGTAATAGTTATGCATGAGTCCCTCAGTTGTCCTCAGTGTGAAAATATGGATCTCAAAATCATACAGTCACTTGTTTTTCTGAAGAAAAGCAGGCAGCTGAACTGCTCAGGACCAACAAGGGACTCAAGAACAACTATCACCAAATATAAAAACAGTCGTGGATCATTCAGGAAACAACACACAGTATTAAGATTCAAGGGTGTGTAAACTTTTGAATGGGGTCATTTTTATAAATTCAGTTATTATTTTGTCTTGTGGAGTACATGTAAACATCTGTTATGTGAAATAGCTTATTCAGGACAGTACTAAATAAACAATAACATGCCATTTTCATGATCCCTCTTATTTTGTTTCAATTATTAACATTTTGCACATTCTGCAAGGGGTATGTAAACGTATGAGCACAAGTAATATATATATATATATATATAAAATATATAAAAAAATATTAGAAATTAACATTAAAATAAAAATAGTAAAAAAAATTTTTAAAGGTAATAAAAAGACAGGGCTTGTTTTTAAATAAATTAATACATGAATAAATAAATGTATAATTAAAATGAAAAATAAATAAATAAAAATTTAAATAAGTGTGTAAGTAAATAAATAGACCACAGAAATAATAAGTAAATAAAAATAAATGCAAAATAAGCTAATAAAAAAAAATTTAATAAATGTATCCATTTATCCAAAACTTAACCATCTCAAAAAGCTACATCTAACCAGCCGTGCCAGACTTACTCCTGTGATTGAGCGGCGCGTCCAGGATCTTCACGGCACACGTGAGGTGTTGGTGTTGGGCCGGTTGGTTCGGTCTCTGCAGACACGCCAGCATGGTGCAGTTTGAGCTCTACGGGTCGCTGAAGCCTTCAGGGATCTGCAACAAGAAACAAACCCGTTCAGAGGAGTCCATCAGAGGCTGAATCACAGGCGGAGGCCTTTCTGAACCGGACGCAACGGCAGACACAAGCTGCACAGGACAGCATTAATCAATCTCTCAGCGGCTCCTCGATCTCACCGCCGATCTCTGCTGCTCTCAGAATAAACACACACACACACACACACACACATCACCTGTCCGACTCGTTCACAAACGCAGAATTAAAAAAAGTGATCAAAAGTGACAGTAAAGACATCTCAGCTTCTTTAAATGTAATACGTATCAGTTGTATACAGGGGTTTAACGGTACACAAACATGACGGTTCGGTACACACCTAATTTTTGATGTCACGGTTCGATATGGTTTCCGTACAACAGGAGAAAAAAAACTAAACAAATTGTTTATAAAAAAAAGAAGAAATTAAATAATGGTTTACTGAACAAATTGCTCATTCTTTAAAAAAAAATTCAATTATAATTTACATTTTCTTAGGTTTAAAAATCTACCTCAGATTTTGTTCTAAACTCTAGGGAGCCCTTTTACATTACTATAAAGTTACAATTAACAACAGAGCCCAAGCTTAAATTCAATTACTATTTATTTTTAACTATAATAATAATCAACACTCAAATTAAAAAATGCAAACATGTAAATTGTTTTTAAATTAGCTTCTAAATTATATATTTTCTATTTGTTGTTGTTGTTTCATAAAATATTTATTTAACCATATAGCCTACATTAAATAAAGACATCACTAACAAATAAAGTAAATCTAATGAAATACAGTCTAATATATTTAGCAAGAAAATGCTCTTCACTAGACTTAGTTTCTCTAGCAAATAACGAGCTGTGGACACTGATGACTTGCCTGAGGTGAAATGCTACATGACATTTTGTTTACAAGCTGTTTTAATGACGGTTGAAACACTGATTGAGCGATTACACGAGGGGTGAGATGTTCATTCATGTTTATTTCACATTAAAACTAGTATTAAAGAGTAATCGCGCAGCCGTTAGAACTGAGGCTTCTATACAGCGATCTGTCGTGAGAAAATTTCTGAAACTAATGTGTGTAACGTTACACCCCTAGCTGTATACAAAGTGACCCACATTTGGTTTTTGACCACTGAAAATGGCTACAATTTAACAATTTTACTCTTGGAGCCATATTTAGATCCCAATATCGCTGGAAATGAACAATGAATGAAACTGCACATGGAGCCATGTGCATGTTTCAACATGATTTGTTATTCAAACATTCCTCTTTAAATACAATAAAAATCAGATGAATGCAAAGTGACCCACATTTGGTTTTTGACCACTGAAAATGGCTACAATTTAACAATTTTACTCTTGGAGCCATATTTAGATCCCAATATCCCTGGAAATCAACCAAACAGGACCTTAAAAATGGTGATACCAAATGAAAAGTTTGTTAACAACCAAAATCTGAAAGAATATTAAGATATCTTTAATACTTCTGAAGTTACAGGCATGCAAACTTTGGGGGAACACTTGAAAAAGTGTTTTTCCCCATTTTTGAATGGTCACCATTGGCACATAATGCAACACAGATTGCTAAAGTCAACAGATTTGACTAACAGAGCTACCAATCTCTGTGTGAAAATAACATTGTGATGCTGCCATCTTTCTGAACTCATTTTTACCCTCCTGTAATTTGGCTCCGAATCTCAGGTGAAAATTGCCATTTTGACCCTCCTCTACAAAATAGTGGATTACTCAGTAAACATACATCTAAATTTTGGCTTTCATCACTATTTATGTTAGCCTTTCTCCATTAAAAATTGGAGACACGAATGACCCAGCAGTCACAAGACTGTGCTACATTGTGAATGTTGTCAAAGCAACAAGGCCTAGAGTATGTTACTGCTTTTGTTACATAATAACAACATTAAAGGGTACATCACTATTTAATGAATGTTATAATCAATGGAGCACTGGACTGACCAATCAGAAGACGGGAAAACAGCTGAAATATCTGAAATCTGTCACATAAAAGCCTGTTTGTGAGCTTAAGATGATGGAAATCCTCCAGAGCTCATGAGTGCAGGTTGTTCGTCTCCATTTGTTTGCGGTGTTTTGCAGTCATCTGTGATTTATCTCCTGTCTGTTTATTGCTCTGTTTTCTGCCGTGGGTCCAGAGGGCAGCAAACTAAGTGAGTTGCTAACCGGAGAAAGTGTTCAGAAGTATCTGTATGAATCCAGTTACCTCACAGAAGCTTGTCTTCAGAAATGCAGCGACCCGACAGCGATTTCACAACAAGGCCTCCATTATAGCACATTTATCAAAAGAAGATGTGAGTTTGAGAGATGAGGGAAAAACAGGATCTCCTGGGAAAAGCCGGTGTAGTTTTATCAGCAGAGATGAGCATAAAAGCAGCTTCCATTACGGCGAGCAGCTCAAGGCTACAAACGCATTAAAGACACTCCGAGAGTAAAGCCAAACTCTGAATATAACAGACTGAGGAGACGACTTATGAGGGGCTTTCAGTCTGGAGTGCGGATCGAGACGCCGCTGGAGCAGAACAGGGTTAAAGATGAAATACACTCATCATTTATTCACCCTCACGTGCTTCTGAACCTCTAGGACTGCAAAAACACACATGCAAAAAGAGGTTTGCATTGAATTATATTCTTGTCTGTTCCGCTATGTGACTTCAAAAGATTCAGAAAAAGGTGCAAACGTCATAATTCTATAAAATCTAATAATACTAATTAATAATTTTAATAATCAAATCACGTCTAATCAATTGAGATTTTGTCTGTTCCGCTATGTGACTTCAAAAGATTCAGAAAAAGGTGCAAACGTCATAATTAATTCTATAAAATCTAATAATACTAATTAATAATTTTAATAATCAAATCACGTCTAATCAATTGAGATCATAAAACTTTATCAATATTTTTAGAAATCTTTAATCTTTTAAAATGTAAAACAAATAAAACTACAACAGAGCATCCAGATTTTTGTATTTTATTTTATTTTTGTCTAATAAAGTACTGCACAACAGTGTTTTAATATCAATAGTACAATGTTTACTTTAAATAGTAATATTTTTAGTCATAATTTCTTCAAGTTAAACCAAACTTTTATTTTGGTGGTTTGCAATGAAGCCGTCTGAGTTTCTGTATTTGATCTGAAAATTAATTAAATTTCTTTCATTCAAAAGTGACATTAAAGACATTTAAAATGTTACAAAGGATTTCGGTTTCTAATAAATGCTGTTCTTTTGAACTTTCTATTCATCTGTGAATCCTGAAAAATAAAATGCATCAGTTTCCACAAAAATCATGTGCAGCACGACTGTTTTCAACATTGATAATAATCAGAAATGTTTCTCGAGCAGCAGATCAGCATATTATACTGATTTCTGAAGATCATGTGACACTGAAGACTGGAGGAATGATGCTGGAAATACAGCTGCGCATCATAGAAATACATTACAGTTTAACATATATTCACATAGAGAACATATTTCACATCATAAAAATATTTCACTATTTTGACTGTATTTTTGATCCAATAAACGCAGCTCTGGTGAGCAGGAGAGACATTCATATTTTTAAATGGTCCAAACCCCGAACAGAAACACAGAAGACATAAGGGATGAGGGGTTAGTAAATAATCAGCAGTGGTTGCTAATTGCACTGAAGCGTCTCTCTGTTGATCTCGTCATCTTTGAGCGTCAAACTCAGAATGGTAAGAACGGTAAATCCTTGCCACTTTGCAGCTGTGCATCTATTCTGGTATCTGAACTCATCTCAGGCCTGAGGGCGTCTTAATTGTACGCACCGTCATCAATATAGATGCGAGGAGCGCTGGGTGTTTGAGGAGATAAGGTCACATGACAGACGGGACCCTTTACATCTCATCTGATCCTCTAAGCCAGTGTTTCCCAACCACTGTGACACACAGTTTGAAGACAGACGTCTACTTCTTCACAATGCAAGGGTAAATAAAGAACTGATGTCTGATTAAGAGCAGTGTTTTCCTTTACTCAAGAAACACTGTCTATAAGGGCTAAGCTTTTGTATGTTTGAAGAGCAGAGAAGAGTCTTAGCATTTGCGGTCTAACTGTAGCCAATACACTTTTTTTTTTAATTGTAGTAATATTTCACAATATTCCTGTGATGCGCAGCTGTATTTCCAGCATCATTACTCCAGTCTTCAGTGTCACGTGATCTTCAGAAATCAGTATAATATGCTGATCTGCTGCTCGAGAAACATTTCTGATTATTTTCAATGTTGAAAACAGTCGTGCTGCACAATATTTCTGTGGAAACTGTGATGCATTTTATTTTTCAGGATTCACAGATGAATAGAAAGTTCAAAAGAACAGCATTTATTTGAAATAGAAATCTTCTGCTATACATTATTTATTTGTTTTGTTATACATTATAAATGTCTTTACTGACACTTTTGATCAATTTAACGCACCCTTGATGAATAAAAAATTTCAACAATTGTACACAAAGCATCTAGATAAACGCTTCAGTTTCTCCATTGAGAAAGCAGTCGGTACGTTTTGCAGCAAACAAAAGTGGGTAAAACTTGTTAATCAATCAACAAACATGACCATCAGCTGATTGTGTTCAGACTGACTCCACATCACTAGAAAACTCAAACTACACGCCATTTCACTGGACTGTGGAATAAAATCAAAACAGACTTGATTTTGATTATAAAACAGCCAAATATCACACATCAAGTAATCATCTGGACTGGTATTGTCATATCGGAGGGTCGTATCCATCTCAAATCAACTCTATTGACGATTTATAGGTCTGGGGCCAGTTGTGCAAAAAGTGTAATCTGGATCAGAATGATCTGGATTTGGAAATCTCATGTTGTGCTATCCAGGATTTTTCTTTTGTGCTGGTTTATCAATATACATTATTTATTTGTTTTGTTATACATTATAAATGTCTTTACTGACACTTTTGATCAATTTAACGCACCCTTGATGAATAAAAG